GAGTGCGCACTTCTGGCTTTTTCAGGGGGCTTTCTCGCCCTTTGTTCGCCTCCTTTTATTTTCCTTAGCCGTGGCCAGGACACTCGTCAGCACTTCGTTGCCTGTTGTCCGCCTCCTCAACAGGACTCTTCAGACAAAACGAGCGAACTGAGCAGGGAGGAAGTAACAGATGAAATGATCAACTTGACATTAGAAATAACGATACAAATTTAAGGGTTTCCTTTTAGGTGTATGTTAACATAAACTAATGTAATATCAAGTGTATTTGTTAATAAATAAATAAACACAGGCAGCAAGTATTCAAATTTGTATATAATTTGTTCTCTTGATATTTGCACCATTTATTTAATATGCAAACAAAACTGTGCTGCAAATGTTAGCATTTTATTACTTTCGAATTACCGCAGAAGCCAAATTTAAATTGGTAAATGTGTGCTATGTTTTTGTGGCAATAGCAGAAAATAACTTTAATTTTCAGAACAACAGTTGAATTTCTCTTACTCTGTGGCTTCCTTTGATTTAATCCGGAAAATTCAGCACCAAAGAAACCACCGAAATTGAGCAACTACAATTTTGTGTGCCGTACTCCAATTAGAAGAATCTCAAGGCGAAATTCTCAGTAAATTTCTGTGTGTTTTCAGCAAGTGTGTGTGTGTTTGTGTGTTTCTGTTTATGTGGGTGGGTGTTGAGAAGGTCCTGAATCGCCAGAGGCTCCCCCTTTTCGAGTCTGTTTGCCTTTTCCTTTCAACTCCTCGCCCTCTAATTGAATATGCATATTTAGCTGTCAGTCATTTTGATTGCGTAACAATCCGAAATGAAATGAAACATGAAGCCCCAAAGAGACCCCTCAGACGAGGCATTTACCACCCCCTCCTAGCCCCCCCTCCAATGGACCCTCCGACCTTCAAGGGATCACCCCTCAAAATAACCTCAGTCTAAACGCTTTGAATTTGAGTGGCTTGACAACAAATCATTGTCATCATCTTCAGCAGCGTCATCATAATTGTCGGTCAGATTTCAATGTTTTGGCGATGCAGGCTATTGGCGACCACAAGTGCACTGAGAAAAATAGGGCATCAAATGAGGACCAAAAAAGGTAGGAAATTGATTGCAAAAACAGGGAATTTTTGTTAAGTCTATTTAGACTGTCTTGTTCCAAACTTCTAATATGTTAAGTAAATGTGTTCTTTAAAATACTTTAAATTCTATTATGTGAGTAAGAAACTTTGTTTTTCCTCAGGTGTAAAGTCGTTATAAAATGTTCAATAACAATAGCCGAGAACTCTCTTGGCAGATGCCAATTAACTCGTATAATTGAGCCTTTCTGCAGCATACATTTCAGAGCCTTTGCCATAGACAGTTGATAATGCATTTTAATTGCTTAAATATGAATGGATTGGCCGATGTCCAGAGCGTGTGTAAGGCGATAACTTGAGGATGGATGGTTTTGTAAACGCAACTCCATTCGATTATCGATATCGCAATTTGTGGGCGGGAGGGACAAAAGCACAACTAATTATGAGAAGCCAACAGAATGGAAAACTAATTGAGGTATTAGCAGTTAATTAACTGGAGAAGATAAAGAGGTCGATAATTGCTAAATTTACATATGCATATTTAAATATTTTACACGTTCAAATGGTTGTTTAATTATTTCATGTTTTCTGCATGCAAACTAAAACTTAAATCGTTAATTGTGTTTAAAATGAACACATGCTCTCTGAATATAATTAATAGTTTTCATTTAATCAAAGTGTTTTTGGATATATGCGCGTGTCTTTTGTTATTTTTTAATCAACCCGTAGTAATTTCAGTTTATTTATTTAGCAAGTTTATCTGTGGAAATCGCATTGTTTCGCAGCTCTGAAGACCTGCAGTTAATTGAAATGGCAATTTTCATTTCAATTAATATCGGGAAAACCCATCGCCTAAGCTCGTCTGCAGTTTTGTTTCCATTTTGGTTGCTGTTTGCTGTAATTATAATTGGCAATTTGCAAATTCAATTGACCGCAATTATGCCGGCTACCACCGAAAAATCGCCATGAATAATGCAATAAAAATTGAATTTGGCATTCATTCAATTAGAGTGTGCGAACCGAGGGAAGTTGCCGCAAAATGTAAATCCCGTCTCGTGTAAAATCCTGCGAAAGGAAGGGCGTCACGTACTTCGTCCTTTGCCATGGCGATTGCCAATAAAATTCTAATTTCATGCAATTAATTTAAATACATGTTGGCAACAAACAAAGCGAGCAACTCCGCCAAATCTCATTACTTGCCACTCGAGAGTTGAAGTCGAGGCGCTCGAAGCGCCGAAAGGGTTGAAAAGTGGAAGGTGTTCAATTTGCTGGCATCTCTTTTATCCAGCAGCTGGTAGCTGAAATTCCTGCCCCCAAACACCCCAACAGAGAGTGAAACCCGGCGAGTAATCAACTTAAAAGATATATCTCCAATCGAGCTCTGGGAATCCGATTATTGTGGCCAACGAGGCGGGGATATTTTCAGAAATGTGTTGGCTTTGTTTCTAGCTTTTGGTTATCTGCTGGATTTCACTGCCAGTTTTTAGGGATTGATTAGAGTGATTGGATTGCAGTCCTTAATTGAGGGGGAAGGTGATTAAATTACAGGGCTTAAATATTTTGCTCTCTGCTTTGAAGAATTCCACTAACTATCGAGCAGTCATTTCAATATTAAATTGGACTTAAAAAGAGTAAAAATTAAGGAGAAAATGTTTAATTTTTTAAGGCTGGTTTTTGGCGGTAGTATATTTTTTTTTGAAAGATTAGAAATTCATAAAAATATTTACACATTTACAGGGTAGTTTTTAGTGTTGGTCGTAAGCTGAAAATGCATTAGTGCCTTGTTATTAAATTACACATGAACGAAAAGGCTTACAATTTAAGGAGATTACTTGAGGAGCTCAGGAGCAAGAAATTGTTGGCTAAAATAACTTTGGGCAGCATAAGTACGTGGAAGCACGAAAGTCACGAGTGTAACACCTCTGGGCCGAACCCTTTAATCCGGTTAGAGCCAGCTACATGCACATGCATACATCATAAATAATTGAGTTATCCTTCGATGTTTTTCCCCCCACTTGTCCTTTTTTCAGGCTTTTTTTCTTTCTTTCTGTTGTTTTTTTTTTGTTTTTGGTTCGACAACATGACAAATTTATCCTAAAGTTAATTCCCTCACTCAGAGCAGAAGCCCCGCGCTTGCGGCTGCTGACCCCTTTGCCCTGTCTCATGAACTTTGGCCTGTAAGTACACTCGGTGGTATATTAATAGTGCTGGTAATGTAAAAATAATTTTAAAAAATGTTAAAAGAATTGTGCGTGTAAAATAGAAGCTCTATAATATATAAAAAATCAATTTTTATTCAAATATATTATATATTAATATTATAATTAGCAAATAGCATTAGATAAAAATCTAGTTGACAAACAGGAAATAAATATATCCAAAATAAAGTAAATATAAAACAAACAACCTAAGCCAAAAATATAAATACATGTTGCATGGTATTTATTTTAAATTCGAATACAAAAACTTATTTTTAGCTCAACTTTTTGTCGTCTGCTGTGTTCTTTGGTGTGTGTTGGCCAGGATGTTGTTCATTTTGTTGGCCATGTTCTCGGTTGGGCGCAATTCGTATACATATTGATGAATATGTATAAATAAATTTCTATTGATTTTTCATTATTTATATTTAATAATAAATAAAGCAAGCTGCGGCCCTCCTGCTCTTCGACCAATCGACTGGCGTTTTTTTTTTTTCACGAAAGTGTTGACACACCTAAGTTTGAAATTGAGTCGTTTGAGCACATTGATTGAGTTGCTTTTATACAGAGTTTTTTTTTCGTTTTGGGGATACACACGGCTTACAAAAAAATTTCCGCTTTGTTGCGCAGCTGAAAAACATTTTAAATTCCCCCCCCACGGGATTTTCTAAGCGTTACCAACTTTTTACTCTTCTTCTTGCCAGCATCGTGTTTGCGCTAAAAATAATTAAATTCAATTGCAATTCAGTTATCGCGCGACAGCCGTTCAAAAAAAAAAAAAAAATAATAAATAAAGAAACGTATAAAAAAAGAAGTAAAAAAAGGAGCAGAAATTGTGATAGAATATTCAAAATGCCAGCCCCGCCCACCGCCGCCTCCTTTTTGTGGCGAAAAGGAAAAATATTGAAAATTTATTTATAGCCAAATACGCTACGTTGCACCTGTGTGTGTGTATATCTGTGTGTGTGTGTGCTGTCAACACGTTTGTGCTGATGTGCGTGTGCTTGTGTGGACACAACAGATGTTTGCTGGTGTTGGAGTGTGCGCCTGTGCGTGTGCGTGCTTGTGTAAGTGTGTGTGTGTGCATAGTCGGGTGTAAAAATGATTGAGTGTTTGAACTCAACTTTTGTGTCGTTGCCATCGTCGTCATCAGTGGCTGTGCCACACGAAAGTGGCAGCTGGGGAAATCGGAGTGGCACCATTAAAACCACCCAGAATCCTCTAAAGTGGTAACAAAAAAAAGAGGCTTCAGCAGATTATGGCTGTTAAATAAAATTATTTTGAAGCTCAATACCTTTAAGGTAATTTCATTCAATAGTTTCTTAATCAACTGGATTGCTTTGCATTTAGTTTGTTTATATTTAAAAAACCTTTTGTTGTTTGTCGTTCAACAGCCCTTTAATCTTACTATTTGTATTCAACTCACTTTCGCTATAAATATTATCACTTTTGTTGTTATCTCTGCTTTCAATTCGTTAAATTCTTTTCCAAAGTCCAAGTTGCTTTCAAGTTTTACAAGATTAAAATAATGTAAGTAATGTAATGTAAATAATTCAGCCATAAAGATATAAGATAATTCTTCGCTGTTTTCTGTGAATTTGGTGTACACTTAGTTTGATTATTTTCAACGATTACACGGCTTTGAAAAACACGTAAACAAATTTGCACAATAAAAAAAATCTCCACAAGACGTAAATATCGTTAAAGAACAAAAAAACACATGGAATTTGTTCATTGCATTGCATTTCATTATTCACGGAGGAAGTGTAATTGTTTTGAACAAATCAACGACCCCAAATTTCCACTACGTCCTTGATTGCATACCCTCTCTCGGATGTGAACTTAATGGTGGCTCCTTTGGATCCAGGACCTCCACTTACGAGCACGGCAGTTGCTCCATGGCTCTTCTTCTTGTCGGTGACTTGAATGGCCGTAATCGTTAAGGCATTAAGGTTATCCTGATAAATGGGAAATATTAATCAAACAAATACTAGATTGTAATTATTGTATCCATTAACTTACGGACTGCTTGAATACGTATTTTTTGGTCTGAACGAGGCCCACAAAAAACGCCTTTGAAACCGTATCCTTGGCCAGTTTGTAGTCATTCGGCCCGATTTCGCCCCAAAGGTAGTCGTTACCTGCAAACGTTGGCAAAACGTATGCGGCCACAACTAACAAAATAATTGTCGGATATTTCATTTTTTGATAACTATTTCGCAATGACGAATCAAATGGAACTGATTTGGAAAACAATTCTTACCCACTTTTTATTGCAAAGCTCGATATCTACAAGTACTTATACTTAATTAAAAACTGATATTACGTCGAACATCCTAATCAGTTAAGTCTCTTTATCTTTTTCAAGCTCTACGTTCCGGGTTTCACTTATTAAACCATAAATCACTTTCGCATTGTCAGCACGTTCTGGTTTTGATAATCTCTTAAATTTAAAGAAAACACGTAATGCTTGTATGGTAAAAGGAGTAGAAATTAAGTTCCGAAAAGATGAAACTGATTATATTTCTTATTATATTTTATATTTTTAATTTTGTACGACGATAATTTCTAACACATTTTGTTTTGTTTTTATTGAATTTTTTTTGAGGTATACTAACGTGAAGAACACTTTTTTTTGCAGTGTATTGTGGCATGTTGGCTACGGTTTTAAATTGTATTTAAGGTGTATTGTATTTAAGGCGCCTTTGACTCCAGCGGCTTTATCTACCTTGGCTGCCACTTCTCCTTTATCGGTCGCCGCTTTTGTTGTTGGTACACAGGAAAATTACCAGCGACAAGCTTCGGCCTTGGGGGTGGAAGAGGGGGGAGCTGAAAGAGGGGGCGGGAAAAGTCTACGGGGGCAGTGTCAACAGTTTTCCCTCCGGCTGAACGAACTGCCTTCAGGCATGTTTGTTTGTATGCACTTCAATAAAAATTTAGCATACGCTTCACTTAACTTCACTTGCCACACGCACAGTCGCAACACAAATACACAAGCATTATTATATAATGAAGGTAAAATAAATAGTACTTAATATTTATAATGCTGAACAAGGATAATTAAAAAAATATATAAAATAAGTTAATAAAATAAAATTAAATAATAAATTTCTTTTACATCTAGTAAACAACTTAAAACTTATCCTTGGCTCTATTTTTTTGACCATAGCTGTGCATATACACACCTGTAACGCCCCCTGGCGGCAGCAACATGAAAACATTGCTTTGTATCATTTCCCCTTGGCGAAGCATTTTTCGATTATATGTTGCTCTTGCTTTTTGGCTCGTTTTTCAATCTAAATGTCAGCACATGTGCGTGTGTGTGTGTCAAAATGGCTGCCAGCTGTGCGTGCGTGCGTGAGTACATATGTGTGTGTGTGTGTGCGCGTGTCGTGGCAAATTACTCGAGTGAAGTGCGCACTTCAAGAATGAAATAGCCAGAGCAACCGGCACGGCCTTCCCCCAAAAAAAAAAAACAAAACTTCATCCTTGCCAGCCTCCGTTATCCGGCCACGCCCCCTCCTCCTCCTCCTGCCCCCTTTCCCCGGTTGGAAATCTCGTGAAAAGCGCGTGCATGTGTGTGTTAGAGCGAATTTCCTTTCTAATTTGCTTAACGCAACTTGCTCAAGTCTCGTTACGTTATTGTTCATTCATGTCCCAACTGCAACTGCTTTCTCCACCTCGCAAGGGGAAAGAAAAACAGAAAAGGATCCGAATCGAAAAGCATATGAAATCAAAAGTACCCCTTAAAAGGATCACAGGGAATATATTTATATTTACCTCAGATTTTTGTATTACCCTCTTCAGAAATGTTTTCAATTCTCTTTCAATATAAAAGTAAAATAAATAGTTTTAAGTAAGACTGAAGATTTGAAATAGATATTTCTTATTTCCCTTGATTTATTATATTATTATAGTACCAACACCTCCGTCTAACTGATTGCTACCCTATAACATTTGGCTCTTAGCGTGTGCATATAAAAATGCGAAATGGAAACTTTGAAGTTGCAAATTAAGGAAACACAACAATAGCAACAACAATTTATATCAAAACGAACATTAAGGGCAACAAAGGAAGGAGAAAAGTTAAAGAAACACTTTATTTTGAATTATTTACAGCTGTCGCGTTTTCTTTCACCTAGAAATTTGCTGTTGTATATTTTGATGTTCAGAAAAGAACACGAAAATCTTTTTATCTCTAATTTAAATAACAAAAACTAGTACAGTTCATTTAAGAATATATAGAAAAGCCCAGTCCTTAGCTTTCTGTACTTATTTTTCTATATATGCTGTATGTACTCTATATACTATACACTTCTTTCTATTAGCTAATTGTCAAGTAGTCGGGTGAGTCCACTTAGTCCACACATTAAATATGCATTTTCAACCATTTCGGGCGACTTCAAAGGCTACGAACCCGAAGGCCGAATCTTAGGCGACCTGCTTATCCTGGCCTCCAGTCTCCTGCCCCTGCTCCTCCTTTCACCCACTTCCTGTCGCAGGAAGCGGAAGCCGGAGGTCCACATCCGCATTTACATGGCACAGAATGCCAGACGCCCACAACTGATGGACAGTTTTTTATGCTTGGATATTTTTCCTGAAACTGAGTAATTTTTATACAAACGTTTTATTAATCGGTTTGGCAGATTACCTTTATAAAATAGACATTTAAATAAATAAAATAAATTAAATATTAATAAAAATACATTCTCTTATTTAACTGATTTTTTGCGTTTTTGTTTCAGGTAAAATCTTTTTTTTAAAGAAGACTCCTTGTAAGTTAACATTAAATTTAAATGAAATAAATACCATGTTTATTTAAGTTTAATTAAATATATTTATTTTCCAATTTTTTGCATTGTTTTATGTTAATACATTTTTTACAATGCCACGCCAACGTTTGATTAATTATTATAAGCTGCATAGCCCGGGAAAAAAACGATTTAAATTAATTAGTGCATTGGCTATGGGTCACATTCCGAATATATATTGCTCATACATTCAATATGTTACACACAAATGGCATTTAATTACGTTTTTAAGCCGCTGGTTGTTAACTAAAGTCAGAGTGAAATATTGTAATAAATTCCGCTGGTTGATTGTTTGTGAAGGTAAATTTAATCAATAAATAAAATGCAAATTTCTCCACGATTCGCAAAGTAATTTCCTACCTTCGCCCGCGTTTCATTTTTGTATTCTTTCTTATTTTTTGATTGCTAGGCCTAGCGGCTATTGACCTCCCCCTTCGAGGGGTCAACCGCAAGACTGGGAAAAGGAAAATTGAAGAAAAGTTCGGGTGCGCGGCCAGAAAAGGCCGGGAATTCAAGTCACGACATTCGCACCTGCGGCGAATGGCGTTTAAAATTCAGCAAAAGGTCAACAAATGCCCAGGCAGCTGCCTTGGTCAGTTACGCATAATATATACACAAACATATCTCCATATAGATATCATCAAAATGTACATAAAAATTTGTTTATATATAAATAAAGTTAAAGAATTTCGTATCACGAACGTTGCGTTTAATTCCCGTAGAAGTTCGACTTAAAAATAAAATAAAAATATAAACACAAAAGAAACTTAACTTAGGGAAATTAAAAATAAAATAAACCATAAATAAAAATAACCATTGAAAAACAAAATTGGATTGTTGATGGAAATTTTAATTAGGGAAGCATAAATTACACCTACAAAAAATTAAAAAAATAGTTTTACAATAGAAAATATATTTGCTACTTATGAAAACTTTATATCCCCGAAACGCACTGTCTTCTTACAATTTTTGTGTCCAGTCAAAAAGTCTCGCTTCAATTACTTTGAGTTGTGTAAACCTTTTTTGGCTCATTTTTGTTTTATACCTTCTTCGCCATTCTATTGTTGTTCCACTTTCTCCACTTTCTCCTCATTCTTCCTCATTTTCTTCCATATTTCCGAGTTCCCTCTTTGCCATCTTTTCAAATAAAAGGTGACGCCGTATATTTGAATTTTGAATGGGGAGTTTTGATGGATGTTGGGGGGATTGGGGGAAATGAAAGGGGCGGAAAAAGGGGCGGAGGGAGGGGGTAGGATGTCCCAGTGGGTGGCCAGCGACACCCGGGCATTATATCCTGCTATACTGCGTCAGTTTTTATTAAAAAAGTCATTATATCTCGCTCAGCAGGACAATGCGGTCTATGATGGCGTGTTTAACTCAGAGGGGCACACGCATTTATTTAAGTTTTTCCAAAATAACCAACAACATTTTAGCTGACACAAACATTCAGTGTTTAAACTTAACAAAATTTATGCTTTTTGTTTTTAATGAAAAGAGAAACGAAAATGAAAATGTAGAAGGAATATTAAAGCAACAGAAAAAATAGTTTAATAACTAAAATCAAGGTTGATAATTCCTTTAACGTGAAGTCCATAATTTCGCTATATTTTCCTACTTAATTTCCCCCTAGTTTCTTGGCATTTCCCATGCCGGCTTATCTCGTCGGCTTAATTTCCTTTCCCCGGATCGACTATAAAGTTGTCTCCATTGGAGTTTTCTTGCAATTGATTTCCTTCGATTGCCAGCAAATTTCCCATATTAAATATCCTTGCTCGGATTTTCCAGCAAGGAAAACGTTGTTAGCTGTCTCTTTGTCATCTATTTTCGGAGCTGCAAACTTTTAGTTCTCGCTTTTCCTCCTTAAGTAATTTGTTTTTCTCCTTTTCACGTTTTCAAGGCTATTTTTTGTTGTTGCTTTGGCTGTGTTGTTATGTGTGTGTTTACTCTATTTTCCGGGGGGGAAAATCCAGTTGAGTGTAAAACGAAAAATGAAAACTATTTTGCGACACAATCCTTCCGGTGGTTCCTTCGCCCACTTTTCGATGGGTAAAGTTTTAATTTTAGCTTGGTCAGAGGGGCAAAATAAATAGGGTAAAAGTGGTGGAGGGAACTTTTCAATAAACTATCGCATCGCACACATGCCACACATCCGCTTGCCAACTGCTGCCAACTGTTGAGTTATTTTTTATATTGTTAGAGCAATCCCCTTTATACACATACTACAGTATACATATACGATACATATATATCCTTTTGCTCTCTTTTTGCCCGACTCTGCTTCATTTTCACGTCCTTTTTCCCATTCTCCGTTCGCCATTGATAAGCTGCGAATGGTTTGAAAGCCATTTGCCAGTAGATTTGTTCACTCAAGAACTTGCTCGACTATTTGTTTGCTTGGCAGAAAAGTTACTGGACCT